CTAAAGACAAAAACTCTGCAAGATTATTTCGTGAATTGCTGGTCGAACTCCCGAAACCTGTACTGCTATTGGGTGATCTAAACGCACACCACACAGCTTGGGGTAGTAGGTTATGCCCATCAGCTTCAGAGGCGAGAAGAAGAGGTGAACAAATTTTAGATCTAGTGGTACAACACGACATGCTCGTGCTCAACGATGGTTCTCATACTCGGATACATCCCACCACCGGGACCTCTCAAGCTCTCGACGTCTCCGTTTGTTCCACATCGATAGCTGCCAAATTCAACTGGAGGATCCTACCGGACTGCTCCGATAGTGACCATCTCCCAATTTTAATTGACATCTACGGTGTCTCAGATGAACCGAAGCATCGAGCAAGGTGGATCTACGATAAAGCTGACTGGGACCTGTATGAAAATCTCACTAGCAGAACTCTGCGTCCGGGACAACCTATGACAGTGGAGGAATTCTCAACCAGGATCATTTCGGCGGCAGAAGCTAGCATCCCACAAACTACTGGGAAGAACGGACCGAAGGCTGTAGTATGGTGGAATACAGAGGTCAAAACAGCAATAAAGGAAAGGCGTAAACGACTTCGTGCTCTTCGTCGGCTGAGCCCTGATGATCCACGAAAAATTACTGCATTGAAGCAATTTCAGGAAGCTCGATCAACATGCCGTAAAATCATCAGCGACGCGAAACAAAAAAGTTGGGAGAACTTTGTTGAAAGCATAAATCCAAACAGCTCAGCTAGCCAAGTTTGGAGCAACATTAATAGACTTAATGGTAAAAGAAAAAACAACACAATCACACTTAATCTTCCAACGGGCACGACCAACGACGGCCAAAAAGTAGCGGACGCACTGGCCGATGAATACCAAAGGAAATCATCTGATGCCAACTACCCTGAAAAATTCCAGAAGAAGCATAAAGCAGACGCTCGTACTTTCGTCAAAACCCAGCGTTCAAACCTACACAAACCCTACAACGTAGATTTTTCGATGGAAGAACTGATGTGGGCTCTTGATCGTAAAGCAGGCTCCTCAACTGGTGCTGACAACATAAGCTACCTTCTGCTGCAACGGATACCATTCTCTGCCAAAACTGCCCTGTTAGAGCTCCTAAATAAGGTTTGGGACAATGGCACGTTCCCGAAGCAGTGGAAGCTAGGTACAGTAATACCCATACCAAAGCCTGATGCGGACCGTAGCAAAACAGAGGGCTACAGACCGATAACTCTTCTAAGCTGTTTCGGTAAACTGTTTGAAAGAATGGTGAACCGCCGCCTGATCACTGAACTGGAAGCTACGAAAAAACTGGATCCACGCCAACACGCATTCCGTGCTGGAAAAGGTGTCGACACTCATCTAGCCAAGCTAGAAACTCTCATCAGTCTCGGTAACGATGAACACGTGGAAATAGTTTCCCTAGACATATCGAAAGCCTACGACACGACATGGAGATCCGGTATTCTTCGCACCCTAGCAGATTGGAAAATATCTGGACGAATGATAAACATTATTTCTAGCTTCCTTTCTGATAGGTACTTCCAAGTGGCTGCTAACGGAACCACTTCAAGCCTCAGAAAAGCGGAAAATGGGGTTCCGCAAGGATCCATACTGTCCGTGACCTTGTTTCTGGTCGCCATGCAACCAATTTTCAATAAAATGCCACCTGACGTCGATATTCTGCTGTATGCCGACGATGTCATTCTTATAGTGAAGGGAAAAAATCACGGAACAATTCGTCAATCCCTGAGGAAAGGTGTCAACGCCGCTACGGATTGGGCTTTCAGCGTTGGTTTCTCTATCTCCCCAACCAAATCCAAGCTGTTACACGCCTGTCACCTACAGCATCGAAAACGAGGTCGGGCCATCAATATAAATAGCACCCCAATTCCACGGGTGAGAAAAATGAAAATTCTTGGAGTCCTGGTGGACGCAAAGTTCAACTTCATACAACACCTGAACTCGCGTTGGTTGTGTCCAAACTGTTCTTTGGCTTAGGGCTCACTAGCATTAACATTGAAGATACGGTACGAATCCTTGGACCCACATATAATGATGTAGTGCGCCAAGCATCTGGTGCGTTTACAACCAGCCCAATCATCTCTATCATGGCTGAGGCCGGATGTCTTCCCTTCCGACTAGCACTCATACAACGTCTTTCGCAATTAGCAGTACGACTCGTTGAAAAAAACCCAAGTACAATCGACTATCCAGTTGTAAAACGAGCTAAAGAACTTCTGCAAGAATCTGCAGGATTCTCCCTTCCGAAGGTAAGCAGCATTCTAAGAGTCACTGATAGACATTGGCACACACCAACTCCACAAATCGACAATCATCTGAGAAGCACTATCAGAGCGGGAACAAACAAGGAAATCGTAATACCAAAGTTCTTAGAGTTCATCGCTGATCGCTACCACTCACACACACAAGTTTTCACTGATGGCTCTAAAGATGGAAACTCCACTGGTGCTGGAGTGGTTATAAGTAGCGATCAATTCAGTTACTGTTTACCAGGTATTTGCAGCGTCTTCTCTGCAGAAGCCTTTGCCCTTAACGCTGCTGTATCAAAGTTGCATAATCAGCAAAACACAATCGTACTGACGGATTCTGCTAGTTGTCTCGATGCCCTACGGAGTGGTCGATCTAAACATCCATGGATCCAATCTGTCGAAAAATCCGTAGAAGGCCGAAACGTCACATTCAGTTGGATTCCAGGGCACTCCGACATTACCGGAAACGAAGAAGCAGACAACCTTGCTAAACAAGGACGAAATGAAGCTGAACTCGACATCCCAATACCATCTCAAGACGTCATACATGCTATCAAAAGGAACATTTGGGCTGCCTGGGAATCCGAATGGTACCACAGCCAAGCTCAACTGAGGCAAATCAAACACACACCAGGGAAGTATCCGGATCGCAAATGTGCTTCCGAACAACGCATCTTAACACGGACTCGAATAGGACACACTCGACTCACCCACTCGCATTTGCTGAACAAGAACCCTCCACCAATATGCAGATGTTGCGGAGTGCAACTATCAATACAGCATATATTAGTCGACTGCAGGGAATATGCTCAAACACGAATCGCTTGCGGGATCAATGGATCATTAGCTGAAATATTGGCGTACAACTCACGGAAAGAGGCAGCAGTTCTACAATTTTTCAAAGATAGCAACCTATATAATGAAATCTAATCTTATTAATTGCCATGAGGAATTTGTTATGTAATATCTTTTTACCCGACACGAATGCCACGATGATGGTAAAGTGTCGTTAATAAATAATAATAATAATAATAACTTCTCGACGTAGCAGGCAATTGTTGATTTTGTCCTTTTCGAGCTCATCATTGAACAAGGCACGTAGCTGGCGTAACTCCTTGAATGCACCAACGAAATTTGTTCCGTTGTCCGAGAATATTTTCCGCACCATGCCCCGTCGATTCACAAACCGGTCTAGTGCGGCCAGGAATGCCTCCGATGTTAGGTCTGACACAAGTTCAAGGTGAACCGCCTTCAATACTAAGCACACAAATAAAGCGATGTATGCCTTCACGACCTTTGTCTTACGTTTACCTTCCTTCACGAAAACTGGCCCAGCGTAGTCGACGCCAGTCAGTTCGAATGGTGCGGCGATGTTCACTCGGGATTCAGGAAGATTTCCCATTAGTGGTCGGATCATCCTTGGCTTCATACGGAAACATCTCATGCAATTATGGATTACCTTGCGGATGGTTGAACGGGGGTTGATGAGCCAAAATCTCTGACGAATTGCTGCCAATACTCCGGACTGGCCTTCGTGGAGTCGTTCTTCGTGAATTTTCTTGATAAGCAACTCCGTTACTCGGTGTTTTGGTGGAAGCATCAGTTGATGTCTATGAATGATTGCAATGCGGCCAGACGCCTTAGAATTTCACCACGTTGGACACACTGGATCTCCTCATGTAGTTCGTTTTGTTGAAGAACACGGATGATGTAACTTGTCGCCTTATGCATGTCCTGCACGGTCAATCGTCCACAGGAATCTCGCTTATCCTTAGGAGTTCGCACACGGCGAACGAGGCGTGCTATGTGAGCGTAAACACGCTGCAGCTTGTAGAATGAATCGAACCGTTCAAAGCTAGTATCGAGTTTCTTCACTATCGGGTTTGCGATGACCACAGTTTTTAGTTCAGGAATCAGGTCGGCGGGAATCTCTTCTATCGGCTCCATCCTATAGGTGACTTCACGAAGAAAAACTGGACCGTTCCACCACTGCTAACATTTGTTTAATAGGGTTGGTTTCATTCCTCGGGATACGATGTCCGCCGAGTTTTCATCCGTATTGACGTAGCTCCAACGGCAGTGTTTGGTCAGTTTGTTGATTTCAGCCACTCGGTTGCGAATGAAGACTTGCAGCCGATCCAAAGGTTTCTTTATCCAAGCCAAGGCTATTTGACTATCGGACCACAATCTGATTTCCGCGGATCTCCAGTTTTAACGTCGGGATCACCTTATCCACCAGCTTGGCTAACAGTTGAGCGGCGCACAACTCTAGTCGAGGGATGGTCAACTCACGAAGAGGAGCTACCTTTGATTTGCTGCATAAAAGATTAGACACTGCTGATCCGTCTTTACGAATGCGGCGAAGGTAAACACATGCGCCATACGCATATTTGGAGGCATCAGCGAAACCATGAATCTCCATTGTTTCTGTATCAGGAACCACAACGCATCTTGGAATCTTGACATTGTTGAGGTGGCTCAATGATGTCTGGAACTCTGTCCATCGCTGGAGTAATTCACCTTCCATAGGTTCATCCCATCCAAGGTCGGTAGCCCACAGGCACTGCATGATCATCTTTGCTTCGACGATCACTGGTGACACTTATCCCAATGGGTCAAATAACTTCGCTATTTGGGATAGGACACGCCGCTTCGTTGGTTTGTCTTCGTTATCCGTTGGTTCAGACGACTTGAAGAACAGGAACAGGTCTTTCTTTGGATCTCACAGAAGTCCCAAAGCCTTGATTACTTCATTTCCGCTGGAGTCCTGAATGGGCACTAGGGTCTCTCGATTTCCATCAGGAATTCCTTCAAGCACATCTTCTGAGTTGGAACACCACTTTCGAATTGGAAATCCTCCTTTCAGCATCAACTCCTCCAAATCACGACGTAACTTCTTGGTTGACTCAATTGAATCCGAACCAGACAGAATGTCGTCCATATAGGAATCATTCAGGATAACTTCGGCCGCTTCTGGATAATCCTCACTCTCGTTACGGGCTAGCTGGATAAGTGATCTCACAGCGAGAAACGACGCCGCTGATGTACCGTAGGTAACGGTCAATAACTCCAAGACCTTCAGTGCTTCCGACAGGTGTCCTCGCCAGAAGATTCTCTGGTACCGAGTCTGGGAGGGATCAACGAGAATTTGTCGGTACATTTTGGATACGTCTACGGTGAAAACGTAGGTATGGGTTCGAAAACGTAGTACGATGCTGAACAGGTCACTTTGGCTGCTGGTTCCGGTCATAAGTACGTCATTCAGGGACAGTTCACTCGCTTTGGCTGTTGCGTCAAACACAACACGAAACTTTGTGCTGCTACTGGATGGCTTGAAGATACAGTGATGCGGCAGATAGTACGATTGTAGACCAGGAGGATCTTCTTCCTCCCTCACTTCACGGCAGTGATCCAACGATTGGTATTCGTCGATGAACTCCGCATACTGAGCCTTCAGGTCAGGATCTCGCGCCAATCTTTTCTCCAACAACAGGAATCGTTTCAACGTCAGGGATCTGGAACTTTTCAACTGGTCCACTGATTCACGGAATGGCAGCTGGACAACAAATCGTCCATCTTCATTACGACGATAAGTCCGTTGAAAGTGTTCTTCGAAACGTTCTTCTTCACTCGTCATCATTGCTGGTTCAGCGATTTCCTCTTGGTCGAAAAACCGCTGCAAGCATGCTTCCAATCCATCGGTCACAGCACGGTTGACACATACTGAAGAATCTTCTTGCATTTCCTCGTACGAGTCAGCCACGACCCATTCGAACTGCGTTTCGTACAAGGTAGGCAGGTGATCGGCAAGTTTGATTTGGCCTTGCTTCAGAATGTTGAAGAAATGTTCGGCACCAACCAGCATTTCCACTTCTCGTGGACGGTTGAATGAAGCATCGGCCAACAGTACACTGGATGGAATATGCCAGGAATCCACTCTAACATTTGCCGACGGAATGGTGCCAGTCACCTTCGGTGTGACGAGACAATCAACATTGGCAGTGAAGTTGCTGTAGTTGGATGTCATTCTCACCACCGTTTGATGGCGTATCTGGGAACGCGTACCTCCTACGCCGACAACAGGAACATTAGCTGGGAATTTCGGCAGGTTTAATTTCTTCACCACATACTCCGACAACAAATTGATCTGTGATTCAGAATCCAGCAATGCTCGAACCTGGTGAGTGTGGCCTCCTTTAGAACGCAGAATGACCATCGCTGTCATTAGGAACACCTGCTTGCTTGGTGAACGAAACACGCTGGAACAGGAAGCATTCACAGGCTGCTCCGCCACTGCTGGTACTGGCTCTACTTCGGCTGGCTTAGGCGGCTCACTCGTTCTTACTTCAGGTTTCTCCCGTTGCTCGAAATGAACTAGAGTGTGGTGCTTTTTCGAACACTTTCCGCAGCTTGGACACGCTGCACTACGGTGGCCCTTCCTCAGGCAATTGAAGCACAGATTCATCGCTTTCAGCTTGTCTTGACGCTGGTCTACGGTCATCCTTTGAAAAGTCGAGCATTTGAAATTCTGGTGCTGGCCGGAACAAAAGTCGCACGCATATTCCGATGTTGCTATTGCAGCATGCGACGGTGTCTTAGATGCTGCGGTAGGAGTAGTGGTTTCACATCGTTCCAGAATCACGCACCGCTGCTTCAGGAATGCGATCATCTGCTCATACTCAGGAAGCTCGGACTGGTTGATTGAAGCTTCCCAGAGTTCACAAGTCTGGTCGTCTAAGGCACGTGTCAGTAGTGTCACCACAAACAACTGAGACATTCCGGTTAAACGCTGGTTGAGCTTAACGAGATTGTCGACGTGACGGGTGCATTCATCTACCAGGTTGCGCAGATCCTTTGATGATTTCTTGAGAACCTTTTGCATATTCAGGAGGCCAAGGATGTGTGACTCGATGATCAATCGCTGGTTTCCAAATCGTTCTTCCAGGATCTCCCATGCTCGTGCATAATTGTTGGTTTGCAGTGTCTCCAAGTCGATCACACCTGCAGCATCTGCATTCAGCGAATTTTTCAAATGATACAGCTTTACAGCGTCGGAATCGTTTGATCGCTGCATCATGTCCTGAAACATGGCCTTGAAGCGTGGCCATGCTTCATAACGACCGTCGAAGGTTGGTAGAGGAGTACGGTAAGACTGGGTGTGAATGATGACAGGTTGACTTGAAGCCTGGTTCGCTCTTGCTGATGTCGAAGGCACTGGCACGGGCAGGGTTGCTCTGTTCTTCATCTCAATCATCTCGATCATCGTCTCTATCATGACCAAGGTTTCATTGTAGAGGGCTTCGAATGCAATATACCTTTCTTCCTGAGCATCGACGTTCTCCTCTTCCACAGAGGCGCTGATGGCATCGTGAAGCTCGTTGTATTCTTGATAAATCACTTGCAAGTTCTTGGAGTAAACCCGCAATAAGGGAAGCGGTAGCCTCTTGTTCGCAGTTTCTGCTGCAGTCAGGGAATTGAAGATCCGTGTGACCTTCACCTTTACTTGGCCACGCTTCTGGATCAACACCTTCACATTTTTCGAATTTTCCATTTTCCGGGGTGGGGTGCGAGGTAACATCTCCTCACACGCGAAGGTTTCCGGTTACTCGGAAGGAATACTTCACACTTCGCAGGTTTTCTTGACACGGTTCACGTTCGGTTCAACTTCCATGGAGTTCTGCAAAGTCTTGAACTTTCGTACTTCGCTGAGATTTATTTTTGGAATTGTAGTACTTTTCTGAAACACTGAATCACAAAATGTCTCTGAAGATCTGCAAAATTCCTTGCAGTTCTACAGATTTCTCTAAATATCTGTTCTGTAAAGTTGTCTGAAGCTCCGTAGTTTTATTCTCAAGATCTACGAAAACAAAACCTTGAGGCTCAATACATTTCTGCCAGCTTGTCTGAAGTTTTGTAAATTCCTCTGTAGGCTCTCATCTTATTTGAAAATAGTTGAGCTTCCTTGAAGGTTTAAATTTTCTTCTCAAAATCTACAAAATTCCCTGACGTTCTGCAAGTTTCACTGAAGATCCATTAAACTCTCTGACATTCTTAAAATGCATCAGAAAATCTGCACTCTTTCTCAGTGATGCAAAATATCATGACACTCACGTGACACTCGTCTTCGCATCATCCGACTATCGCTTACAGATCGTTTTGTCACGCAGTGAGAGTTAGAGCCATGGCAAACAACAATCACCAGTAATGGTCGCTGCCCACAAGCAAATCGTTACACTCGCTGCTGATAATGAAAAGCACAACGAAAACAGTGAAGACTTCTGCAGTACGATCATGAGAAAAAGCGAAACGACAGAAGAAAATGAAAACAATGCCTACGCATTCCAAGTTCGTCTCGGCAGGCGCGAGTGTGTGAGTTACAAACAAAGCAGGCAACATGAAACGGAAGCTGTTGGGCTCACTCACCAACCAACTCACATAAGCAAGCAAAAAACGAGCACAGATGAGTGTCGTGATTGTCAGGAATGACCAGATCGGTGATGGATCACAACAGAAGACGAGATTCACCAGTTGCTTTTTACTTCTTTCGTCAACTTGATGGATGGTCATGGAAAAGGCTTTGACGAACACATTGATAGGAACGTACAAAGCGTTACTACCATCAGCTGTTTGATGATGGTGATTGTGATAGGTCGCAAGTTTGCTCTTTCTTGCAGGTCTAAACATGTATCTGAAGATCTATGACTATTTTTGTGATTTTTCCAAAGTTCTGTTACGTTGTTCAGAAAATCTACGATTTTTTCTGATGTTCAATAAATTTTCAGTAGATTTCCAAACTTCTGTGAAATTCTTTACATTTCACTGTAGATTCTTGGTCTTTTCTGAAGGTCTGCGAAGTTCCCTGAATATTTACCAAATTTTCCCTTTTAGTTTTACAAATTGATCTGAAAATATTTAAGCTTGCTTGAAGTGTTGATAATTTCTTTGTGATTTTTTTTTTCTAAATTTCTGCAAGTTTCTTTTAATTTCTGTTAAATTGTTTGAAATTGTGTAGGTCTGTTCTCAAGATCTACGAACTACCCTGAAGCTCAAAAAATTTCTCAGTAGGTCTCCAAATCTCTCTGAAGTTCTAAGAAATGCTTAGTAGGCTCTCAGACCTGCTGTCTGGCATGCTTATTCTTATATAATACATACATACTTCGTATTATATAAACATTGTTTTGTTGACGGCCAAACACACTGGAAAATAAAAATTAGTCAAATTATACACATCGACTAGTGAAATCGGTTTTCCTTGCTGCTGGATGTGATCAAAACACAAATCAAATCCTTGAAATTTTAGAAGAAACAAATCTATATTTTCATTTCACTTGCGGCTATTTAGCTGAATGAGTCGAATGAAAATTAACCACAAACCTATTACGTTCGACAAATCAAACGTCAAATCTAATCATCATGCCGAAAAAGTGTTAACGCATTCGAACATTGCATCCGAAAAAAATTTCGGACGGTCAGCTCAAATGAGACTAACAAATCAGATAGTCTTAACGTACCTTTAGTGTCATAAGTGCACTTTTACACACTGAAAATATATTTTCGTTATTTCTCTGAAAACCGTTTCGTAAAAATGAATGAACATTCGTTTTACCTGTCATCTGGCGCAATGCTAATATTACGCCTCATTCGTATAATATGCAAATTCAACTTCGTACAATCAAGCCAACAACTGCTCTTCTTGTCTCCTCTAGTGCTGATTGTTGCTTCTTGAAATATTGTCGGTCTGACGAATACATGCAAGCTAACACAATAAATCAAATTACTGGTTACGGTAGTTTTATGTTCCGTACAGTGGAAAAAAAATACATGCAACCAGCAAAAAAAAAGCAAACGAAATCGAATTACCGTTCTATGAGTGCTTCTTATTAGCCTCTAGCCTCTAGCCTCTAGCCTCTAGCCTCTAACCTTACCTATTACTCTTACAGATAGAGCGAAGGATAAAACACGGATCCGTTTATCGCAAAGTTCATGATAAGAGTCCGATCTGAAGCCTTTCTTTGTTAATTCCTTCCAATGATGACGTTACTTTTATCCAGAGATGCCAGATTTACAGACATGTCTGTGAATTTACAGACTTTTATTATTTTCACAGACATTTTTATCATTACAGACATTTACATACTTTTTAGTTTTTTTTTACAGATAATTACAGATTTTTGTAATTAAAAGACAATTTTAAAAATGATTTGGTTAAACTGATCTTTAACCAAATAACACTTGCGATACATTTTGCAACAGGCATTAGAAATTAGTGCGTTTTCAAATTCACCACACGAACTCTATAGATGGTCATAGTTATACACGCTATTTCAAATCTACCCAAATTTGGGTAGAATCCACCCAGAGCGGTCAAAACTGAACCTACCCGAAAAAGGGGTAAACTATGTTCGGAGTGACAAGTTGATAAATGAACAAAGTCGATCGGATTTATGTCGATGGTGTCCATTTGTCAACTTGTCACGCCCAACATAGTTTTCCCATTTTTGGGTGGATTAAGTTTGGACCAATCTGGGTGGATTGTACCCAAATTTGGGTAGTTTTGAAATAGTGTGTAGACCTGGCAATATACACAGAAAAACAAAACTACCCACCCCTTGGGTTTTTTAAACTCAAATTTGAGTTATTTGACCTCTGCCCGTTTCATTTCCTCTCGCTATTGTTGTCAAAAATAGAACGAAAGATTCGACTCAACCGTCTAGTTCCGTACAAGAAGCCAAAATTGAGTAATATGCGATATACCCAAATTTGAGTTAATTGAACTTAATTTTGGGTAGAAAAAATTGAAAATAACTTAGCGATGGGTAATTTTTTTTGCCGTCCTTAAATGCAAACTACTTTGAGCCGGTTTACCCAAATTTGGCTTATCGTACGGAACATGGGAGATGAGTGAAAAGAACTTAATTTTGGGTTGTTTTGAATTTCTGTGTACTGTCATGTTGTATCCAACACGAACATTTTGCATATGATTTGACGGTTTGTTTGAATACGTCAGCTCTAAAGAGCCTGAATTTATGAAGAGGCCACATCTTATCCATTTGGCAGGTCTTCTAATCGATTGGAATAACTTTTCCTAAGACTTTGCCAGATAATCGATTATTCCTATTTTGACAAGTCGCCTCTTTATAAATTCAGGCTCTTTACCCGCATAAACGTGAACCATAAATTGACTTTACCGAAAATGGTTAAACATTGTTTATAATCCCTGATTAACTTTAACTAAAATGGTTGTGGAACTTTACATGAATTTTTGTGTGATAAAGTTTTAACCTTATGTAGGGGAAATGGCTCTAATGTTGGCCTATGGATCTAAGATTGGGCCCATCGCTAAAAACCTAATGTTTTCAATTCTATCTTGATTAACGCGTCATTGGGACGGTACTAATGGATATTTTTGGTCGCCATTGAAAATTTAATGGATTGCTGAATTTATGAATGGGGCCAAATTAGGGGCATTTGGGCAGACATTACATCCATTTTCCCTATTATGGTTTTTTGGAAGTGGACCTTACAAATAATGGGTTGTTAAGAACCATTACCATTCTAAATTCTTGTTTTCTCCGGAAAGAGAACAATATTGGAACCTTTTAAACTATGGTTTGAGAACTTTAATGGTAATAGTTATAGTAGTCCGTACGGTCCATGAATGGTTTTGTAACATCGATCACTTTATGTGGAATTTATCGCGAATTGGTTGCCTGTAAATTAATGATTACCAATTCACGATTTATTTCACGTCAAGTGAACCGATAATACAAAACCATCCGTGGACCTTACTGACTACCATAACCATTGCCATTAAAGTTCTCAAATTATAAGTAAAAAGATTCTAATATAGTTCTCTTGAATCCTAATGAATGTGGGCGTCTTAGTGGAATACCTGTATAATGAGAGAGAGAAGGATTAGTAATTTCCATTTAATTCCACTACCTTATTTGCTTATCCTTGACAGATACGCGTATTTCGTCTACAATGTGCAGACTTCTTCAGTGTCTTGTACTTGACAGCAAGTATTAGTACAAAACACTGAACAAGTCTGCACATTGTAGACGAAATACGCGTATCGGTCAAGGATAAGCAAATAAGTTAGTGGAATTAAATGGAAATTACTAATCCTTCTCTCTCTCTCATCATAGTTGAATGGTAATGTATTATGTAATGGTTCTTAACAACCCATTATTTGTAAGGTCCACTTCCAAACAACCATAATACATAAGGTTAAAACTATATCACACAAACGTTCATGTAAAGTTCCATAACCATTTCAGTTAAAGTTTAGGAGGGATTATAAACAATTTATAACCATTATCGGTAAGGTCAAGTGATGGTCCGCGTTTATGCGGGTAGTCAACTCACGTTGGCCGGCCTATAACTTGACTGTCTATAGTCACTGTCACTGAAAAAGTAAATGAAACGGACAGTGTGTTTTCATCCTATCCCATCTTTTTATTTGAGAACACCCACCCACGGTTGCAGTTTTAGCAATCGATGGAAACTAACAATTTTAACTTGACTCGCTACTTGACTAGCCTATTGGTC